ATGCGCATGCATGCTATCATTAGAATTCAGGTCAGGTTTTCCCACCAGATGTGCATTTTAAAAAACTTCACATTGTGATGAAATAAGAGGGTCCTTTAAAAAAAAATCTATGGGAAAATGAACTGGAAGATAATGAAAAAACAACAACAGACTTTTTGAAGCCCTTTCATATTCATGGTAAAAGATTTGTTATTTTGACCATTTTTACCTGTACAGTCCCAATGATATTAACCAGATTCTCACTGTTGTATAATCATCACGGCTATCCACATTCTGGTGTTGCGCTTTAGGGTAAGCACTGGACTGCAAGGTCAGTTTGAACTGCAAAGCTGAAGTTCAAACACACCAGCCGCTCCTCGGAAACCCTGTACAGGGTCACTATGAGTGTAGACCAACTGAATGGCACTTAACAACACTAACCACTAAATAATAGGAAGTGCTGTGGCTCCGTAGACTAAGCACTGGATTACAAATCACAAGGTCGGCGGTTCGAGCCCACCAGCCATTCCTCAGGAGAACGATGAGGTTTTATGCTTCTGCAAAGATTTTAAAGCCTTGGAAACCCTATACAGGTCTACTACGAATCAGAACTGACTTGGCGGTGCCTAACTACTACCACCACCACTACCACCACCATCACCACCACCAAATGTGTTATGAACCAAACTTATAGAAGAAAGGTTTTATTTTCAGAGTTTTCTAAATGTAAGAATTGCAAATAAGAGACTGTGGGCCAATCTTTGGAAATAAAATGATTTTCTGAAACACTGATCGAATTAATCATTCAGAAAACATGACCTCAACTAAGTCAAAGTAACCAGACTTGACCATTTTTAAGTTTCTATCATGGCCATGATTGCCTTACGGTATTTAAGAGTTTGAGTCCAGTTATAAGAATTGGAAAAGTCAGCCACATCATGATAAACAGATAAAGACTGAAGTTGTCAAGGAATTAATCTTACTTGTATTTACAATCAGTACTCATGGAAGCAGCAGTCAATACATGAAATGACATATTGCAATGGGCAAATCTTCAGCAAAAGACCTCTTTTAAGTGTTAAAAAGCAAATATGTCATTTTGAGGACAAAGATGTGCCTGACCCCAGTCTTTCTGTTTGCATTTGTCTCTTAGTATGGGAAAGGCGGACAATGAATAAGGATCACCACAGAATAAATGAATTATGGTGTTAGTGAAGAATATAGAATATACTATGGACGTGCAGAAAATGAACAAATCTGTCTTGGAAGAAAGACAGCCAGATTGCTCCCCAGGAGCATGGATGGCAAGACTTTGTCTCATGTACTTGGAACATATTATCAGGAGGGACCAATCCCTGGAAAAAAATACTTGGTAAAGTAGAGGGTCAGCAAAAAAGAGGAAGACCCTGAATGAGGTGGTCTGATACAGTAACTGCAGCAGTGGGCTCAAACGGCAAGGATTGTTCAGGATAGGGCAGCATTTCATTCTGTGGTCACTCTGAGTCAGAATTGACTCAACAACACCTACCAGCAGTGACACATAAGGTCAGGTAGGTTTTGTTTGTGGAAGAAAGGTTGAATTTCAGTGATTTGAACTTTTTAACTGCGTAAATGAAAGCAGAAATAGTTGCTGTTTCTGCTCATCCTTGAAGTGAGTGGTTGGTGTTTTGAGCATAGACTCTTTCAGTCATTCACAACATGACAGTCAGGTGCTGGACAATGTGTTCACACACTTTGGTTTTTAAAATGACCCCCCCCTTCCAAAAAATAAAATAAAATAAAATAAAACACACACACAAAAAAACAAAAACCCCAGAGGGATTAGAAGCAAATACTGTTGAATGATGATGCACGGAGGTGAATGAAACAGTGAGTGTAAAACCAATGTTCTCCCATGTAAACTATCACTCAATTCACAATAATAAATATATATATATATTTGTTGTTAAGTGCTGTTGAGTCAGTTCTGACCCACAGTGACCCTCTAGAGGATTTCCAAGGAGCAGCTGGTGAGCTTGAACCACCAACCTTGCCATTCAAACCAACTGTGCAGTCTAGCACATTAACCCACAGTGCCACACCAGGACATATGTGTGTGTATATATATGTAAATGGAGGCTAGGTAAAGTTTTATCTAGTGAAGCAAAAAATCTGACCATTCCAGTATTTTCCTTTAATCCAAAATATTGAAGGAAAAAATGATCAGTTCTTAAAAAACCATTCTACCCATCAATTAATTATTCTGATAATATTTTAGTCATTTAGATAGATATCTAGATACAACACACAGGATCAATGTTACATCATTGATGACATAGTAAAAATAGTATATGTAAATCATAACAATTAGAATGGGTTTTCAGTTCCACTAAAATAATCCTTATTGCAAGCATGTACTAGATCTGCTTGTTTCATTTATGAAGACCCGTTTAACACAGTTCTTCTCATTTCAATGTTCAGTGACTTCTTGTAGGTCTCTTGAAATCAACCAAGCTGGGAGTACTTACACCAAATAAATTAGCAAATGCCATAAATCTGTACTGTAAGTGGTTTTTAAATATTTATCTTGTATTTGACAAACTAGTGTTTATTCAAGACAAGTAAAATATTGCCTTGTAAAAAGAAAAATGAAATCCATCAGTTGTTGGCTATTGTTACGAACATCTTCCTAGTTCTTAGATCAGTCTAGTTATCAATGAAGTCTTAATTTGGCAGCAATGGGAAAGTGGTTAAAAAGGAACATGAACTGCCTTCCAAGTGTGATGGCAAAAATGCCAGGTGTTTTATAGTCTGTGAACTTATGACACTGTGGAACAGTTAAGCTGATTAATTACCACAGTGCCGGACCATGTTGAGTTATTTATGATTGTTTTAAAAGAGCATTCTGTAAAATGACAAATGAGCAAGTGTTTTTTTGTTTTGTTTTTTTACTTCAGGATACACTGAAAATGTTCTGTCAGGATCTTGATTTATAGCCTCTGGCACATATTTTTCTTTTTTGTAATTAGAATGAAAATGTATAGTAATTGATCATAAGGATTATACTTGTGAAGTATTTGTGTTTTGCATGTTGTAATACTAGTTATTTAAATAAGTTAGCAAAAGATTACTTTGGGATGTAAAAAAAAAAATAGTGCTTTCTTTTATACTGTATCTTTTCTTAAGAAGCTTAATAATATCTCACTTCAGTGCTCTTGTGAAACCCATAGTTATAGATACAGAACCTGAATCAACACCATTTGACTAGTAAACTTCTTACATCTTTGTGACTTTTGTAATTATCTAGGACTTTCTATAAAGAGAATAGAATCTTTTGCTTCTGTTATATCAGCTCAACATTTCTTAATCATTTTTCATCTACTGAGTCACTCCAATGGGTTTACCTAGATTTATCCCATGGTATAGAGAGATTGTGGGTTATATGCCATTTCTATTGAAATAGAAGCAATACTACTTTTGTACTCAAGATAACCTATATTATAGGTATAATTTTGAATTTATCCTATTAAAATCATTTACAGATATTGATAATCCATTACTAGTATAGATTGCTATAGTCCTAGTGTGGCACTATAGGATAAGCACTGGACTACTAACCACAAGGTCAGTGGTTCAAATAACCAGTCACCCCTTGGGCACCCTACACAGGTCACTATGAGTTGGAACCAACTCAGCAGCACTTAACAACAACAGTATAGATTACTAGTATCACTAGCAGGCTACTATTAGTATTAAACTCTGGTGACGTAGTGGGTTACACAATGGGTTGCTAATTACAAGGTTAGCAGTTTGACTACACCGCCTGCTCCATGGGAGAAAGATGAGACTTTCTGCTCTTGTGAAGATGTACAGCCTCAGAAACCTTATACAGGGTTGTTATGAAATCGAAACTGCCTGCCCAACATACAATAACAGAATTACACAGATAGCACATTATGATTAGTGTTAACATAAAAGCCCTTGTACTTTACACTGAACATGGTTAAGAAATAATAGTAATAGCAAATATAATAATAATAATAATAACAAATATTTATGAACCACTCACAGAGTGCCGGGCATGTATTTAATGCTTTACATGTCAGAACTCATTTAATCCTCATAACCACACTATGAGGAAAGTATAATAATAGTCACATTTTACGGATGAGCAAACTCTGTGAAGGTATATGGGGATCAAGTAATTTACTTAAAGTCACAAGAAATGAGACATTCTGGCTCCATATTTCATTACCTTCAACTTTATGTTCCATTACAAATACAGTCATGTCTCCACTATCTGAGACTAAGCTCTGAGCAATATTAGCTGCTTGGAACCTAGCTGATAACCTGGTAACAGGCAAAACTATTTCTGCAATTAAAATAGAAGCCAAACTCTATGTATCTCGGCGTGTTTATATATCATGCATATTTATCAGCCAGTTGTTGTTGTTAGGAACCTTTGAGTTGGTTTCAGCTCATAGCGGCTGTATGCACAACAGAATGAAGCGCTGCTCAGTCATGCGCCAGCCTCACAATCATCTTTATACTTGAGCAGCCAGTGCAGTGTTACAGCCACTCAAGTCTGCATTGACTTGGGACCTTTAGTAAAGACTGGCTCACTGAGTCTGAAACACTTCTGTGGGACCCAAGGATCTCGAGAAAGTCACCACTGCCTCCAAATTATTGGTAAAGTAAAAGGAAGTTTAAGCTATTAGAAATTGAAGGCCAAATCTGATTTATTTTACAAAATCATCTAGTGATGGGAAAAAGTACTTGAAGTGGGCAGATATTTATCTATGTGAACTATTCATTCTAATTGCTTCTCAGTCGTTTGAGGTCGACTTTGAATGTTCTGGGTAGTTGAGAAGGGTTAGATGTGGGAGAGAAAATGTTTGCTTGAAGAACTTATAATGTGAAAACATGCCTGCAATCTTAAGAAATGCAATCTTAACTTTTTCCTCATGGCTTGATGAAAGTAATGCTTGACTGTAAAATACATGATTTCTGCTTTATTTGTGTGATTTTTGTTCTTTTTGCAGACCGCTCCTTTGATGTGCTCAAAAAATCCAAACACCCCCCAACGTTTCTCGCAGCAGACCGGCTTTCTGCCATGCTGAATGGCGGCGATGAGGTCTACGCTAACTGTATGGTGATAGATCAGGTAAAGCCCGGGCAGACACTACTAGGGTGGATCTATTTCTCTTTCAAAAACCCAACTATGTGAGAAATCGAGTCAGCGTCATTGGTTATTTTTCTGGAAGTTTTAGCATAAGAGCAGTCCAGGTACTAGGGCTCTGGAGTCTCTTCAGGTGAGCAGAGTCCAGTGGTACCAACACTTAAGTGCTTGACTACAAAGAAAAAGGTTGAGGGTTCAAGCTCACCCAGAGGCACCTTTGTTAGAAGAAAGCCCTGGTGATCTTTTGAAAAATCATCACCATTGAAAACCCTATGGAGCAGTTCTATGCTGCACACCTGACGTTGCCATGAGGTAGAATCCCCTTGGCAGCTGGTTAGGGTCGATTCCTTTACTTCAGAACACAATCCATCTTAACCCAGCAAGAAACACTGCAAGGGAGTGATCTTGAGACATCTCCAGGTGAGAAGACTAGGAGAGCAATTCACTGGGTTGCCAGAGGAAATGACAAGTGGGAAATCCATTTCTTCTCTATAACTTTTCATAAAGCAGTGTCTACGTTACCCGATGCAGCAAGATCTATATTCAAATGCAGGAAGCCGTATGAGTAAGTGCTTAGTGTATTTAATTGTGTATTTAATCCTCATACATCTGTTAACATGTATTAAGAGAATAGAACTGTAATATTAAAACAGAATGGTGTCATATAACAGGAAAGCTGGAACATTTTAGAATTCTCCACCCATTTCCTGACAGATTTGTGAGTTTAATCTCATAAAGGGAGAATGGTTTGAATGTGTAGAAATCCATGTATTGACATCTCTTTCCCCCCTTTTTTTTGGCTTGGTGATCCTCAAACTTTGATATTTATAAAAAATAGTTTTAAATCTGAAAAATCTCTGTATGCCTTAGTTCAGTGGAGACATAAGGTGATTCCAAGGGCAATTTTGACAACATATTTTTTTTGGCTTAGCCAATGATTTTTAAACCTAATTGCATATAATCCTCATTGGATAATAAATTATTTTAGTATTAGTATGCATATTAGGGAGCTCTGGTAGTGTTGGGTTGCTAACCTCAAGGTTAGCAGTTTAAAACTACCAGCTGTTCTGCAGGAGAAAGATAAGACTTTCTGTTCCTGTAAAGATTTACAGCTTCAGAAAACTTACACAGGGTTGCTATGAGTCGGAACTGACTATACAGCTAGGGTAAATCAAAAGGTATTGTGACTCAGTTCCAGTTCATATATGCATGGATTTATTCTAAATAAAATATGTCTCTGTGATTAGGTGGACAGCTGTAGACAATGTCTTAGTCTTGTTAGAGTGCCTTCAGTAATAATTAAAAAAAAAAAAAAGTCCAATTAAAACAGTGGCTTTCAAGGGGTTCTACTGGGCCTGTTAAACTCAAGATACAGAGGTCAGTCAGAATGCTATGCTGACTATTTTTTGGAATTCCAAAGGAATACATTTTTTAGATCTTTTCAAAGGACATAGGACCATCACAGGAGCTTGTTGGGAAGAAGTTTTAGGAAAATGGAGAACTGCACTGGTGATAAAAAAAGTCCAGGGAATTTGTGCCAACTGATGTTTTCCATCAGAACAGTGCATCTTCTCATTCCTCAAGCCATAAGAATTTCATTGGAGTCCTGGTGTGGCGCTGTGGGCTAATGCATCAGACTGCAAAGTTGTTTGAATTGCAAGGCCGGTGGTTCAAGCTCACCAGCTGCTCCTTGGAAACCCTATACAGGGTCGCTATGGGTCAGAATTAACTCAATGGTACTCAACAACAACAACAACATGAGAATTTCTTTGGGGAACTTTACCCCAGCCTTGATCAGACTTTATTTCCCCAATTCAAATAATATTGAAAAGAAACACAATTCGAGTCCCTTGAGGATGCCAAAACTGCTGTTTTGATGTGGTGTAAATTGAAGAGTAGAGAATTTTTTTTGGAAAGGGTTCCAAAATTAAATACGCTGTCCTCGAGTCAAGTCAATTTCAAGTCAGAGCAACCCTGGAAAGTATTCCTAAGACTTTAATTCTCTATGGGAACAGATAGCCTCTTTCTCCAATGGATTAGCTAGTGGGTTTGAACTACTGGCCTTGCATTTAGTAATCATGTACTTATCCCAGGGCTCCTTTAGGGAAGGATTAGAGCGATGGAAACATTTCCTTCAGAACTGTATAGACCTAGATGGAGAATATGTCAAAATTTCACGTTTTGATATTTTTTAAGAAGAAAGTTTTCAATAATTTTTTTTTGCTAGAATGTCCTCAATTTTTTTTTTCTGGTTTTGCCTCATGATTAGATACAGGTTATACACATTCTTTAGTAGATGTACCACAGAAGCATACTGGTGTGGTGCTGTATGAGAAGTATCAGACTGCTTAAGGGAAGGTCGGCAGTTCAAACCCACCAGCTGCTCCTTGGAAACCTTATGCAGGGTTGTTATGAGTTAGAACCTAACTAAACTCGATAGCACTTAACAGCAACAACAGCTCCACCACAGAAGTAATGTTATATTCTTCTGGCTACCATTGTTGTTGTTGTTAGGTGCTGGTGAATCAGTCCTGACTCATATCAACCCCATGCACAACAGAAGGAAACACTGCCTCGTCCTCCACCATCCTCACAATTGTTGGTATGTTATAGACCATTGTTGTAGCCACTGTGTCAATCCATCTCCTTGAGGGTCTTCCTCTTGTTAACAGACCCTCTACTATCTGAGGAACTGGTTCCTCCAGAAAACATGTCCAAAGTATCTGAGACAAAGTCTTGCCATCCTTAATTCCAGGGAGCATTTTGGCTGTACTTCTTTCAAGACAGATTTGTTTGTTTGTTTTGATAGTCCATGATACTTACTTTCTTTATATAATTTTTTTCACATTTCAGATATTTATTATCCATTGTAATCTCAACATGATGCATCAGCATGATTTCATGCATCTGGGGAAAAGATCTCCTGGTTAAGTGGGAAATTGTGTGGATGGCTTCTGGAAGACTTTCATTCTAAGCAGCTTTTGTTGTTGTTGTTGTTAAGTGCCTTCGAGTCGGTTACGACCCATAGCGACCCTGTACAGGGTTTCCGAGGGTGTAAATTCTTACGGGAGTAGAAAGCCTCATCTTTCTCCCGCGGAGCAGCTGGTAGTTTCGAACCACTGACCTTAAGGTTTGCAGCCCGATTCGTAACCACTACGCTACCAGAGCTCCTCTAAGCAGCTTTAAGGGAAAACATTTCATTTAGGAGTCAGGGCCTTCTTTCTTCAATTTGCTGTAATCCACGTTCACTGAGTAGAACTTGTATTGATCATTGGGACCCAGTTTGTTCCATGGTTCTGGGTTATTCTCTCAGTCCCAACTAACATCTGAATTAAACAAACAATGCCAGACGGAAGATATAGAGTGCTGGACTATAGTACTTCTAGCTACAATAAATATGGAGAGAGAGATCAAGCTCGGGTATTTCTTGGCCTGGCTGAGGATCTGACAGAACATATTAGTGGAAGAGGGTTTGGGTCCAGAAGGAGAAAACAGTTGGCAGGCCCAGAAAATAGGTGTCTCTGCTTCATGTTTGCTAGGGTGTCCAGTCCATGGTACTTTCAATATTCTTCTGCAGTACCTTATTTCAAATGCATCAACTCCTCTTTAGTCTTTAGTCATAGCCCAGCATTCTTGTGCATATGAATGAGGCAATTGAAAATACAATGGCTTAGTTCTCAAAGTGACTTTACTCTTTAACATCTTTAAGGAGGTCTTTGAACTGATTTATCTAATGCAAGAAGTCGTTTGATTTCCCAACTACTGCTTCCATGAGTGTTGATTGTGGATCCAAGTAAAATGCAACCCTTGACAACTTCAGTATTTTCTCTGTTTATCATGCCGTTGTTTAGTGGTCCAGTGTGAAGACTTTTGTTTTCTTTACAATGAGTTGTAATTCATACTGAGACTTTTGTATGCTTTTCTTCAGCCAGTGCTTCAAGTCCTTTAGCTTTAAGCAAGCAAGGTGTATCATTTCTTTATATAGTCCAGTTTTTCAGATTATTTGCTCAGCATACAGATCGAATAAGTATGGTGAAAGGATATAGCCCTAACACACACCTTTTCTGATTTTAAACCATACAGTATCCCCTTGTTCTGTTCGAATGACTGCTTCTTGCTCTATGTACAGGTTCTGCCTGAGCACAATTAAGTGTTCTGGAATTCCCATTCTTCACAATGTTATCCATAGTTTGTTGTGATCCACACAGTCAAATGCCTTTGCATAGTCAATAAAACACAAGTAAATATCTTTCTGGTATTCTCTGCTTTTCAGATAAGATCCATCTGACGTCAGCAATGATATCCCTTGTTCCACATCCTGTTCTGAAGCCAGCTTGAATTTTTGGCAGCTCCCTTTTGATGGGCTGCTCCACCCATTTTTGAGTTACTCAGCAAACTTTTACTTGGGTGTGATATTAATGATATTGTTAGGTAATTTCACATTCCATTTTTGTCATTTTTCTTTGGAATGGGCACACATATTATTTTAGTCAGTTGGCCAGATAGCTGTCTTCCAAATTTCTTGACATAGATGAATGAGTGCCTCCAGTGTTGCATCAAGTTGTTGAAACATTTCCTTTTGTATTCCGTCATTGCTGGAACTTTGTTTTTAGCTAATTCCTTCAGTGCAGTTTGCCTTTCGATACTATCGGTTCTTTTTTTTTTTTTTTTTTAATGTAAGGTTTTTATTGTGGATTGAGTGAAAGTTTACAGGGCACATCATCAGTTTCACATTCAACAATTCATATAGCTTGTTTCATTACATTGATTATAA